AGGAAGCTGCCAATTTCAAGGACGTTGTTCTTACACTCTTGGAAAGCTCTTCAGATGAGGTGATTTTCTTATTTTCCAAGATAATGTACAGCAAAGTTTTTAAAAAGGAAGTCGGCTTATACAATCATTCCAGGATATATTGATTCCCGAAGACGAAGAGCTAGTTAATTTCGAAGTTACCGATAGTGATATGGTGAGGTTATGGGTATTTTTCATACGTCTTCTGCATTACTGAGGCGTTCTAATGTGTTTGTTAGAATGGTACCGAGCATGACAGAGCTGAAGAAGGATGTGGTGATCCATCAGAATGGGGATTGTCACCTCTTCAACTCAATGAACTGCGAGCTATCCATGATGCAGTCGCAGAACTTTTAAAACATTTTTGGATGTGCTTTCCGCCAGTCACACCTGAACTAGAGGATAAGGTGAGGTGGTCAATCTCTAAATGATTTCTAGCTGTTGAATGTGCTTAACCAATTGAGTGTATCATATCAGAACAATTTCAGCTCCAACGAATGATCCAAACTCTTCACACTTATGAAAACAATCAGCTACGAGAAGCAGAACGCCAATTTGGAAAACAAAACGTTTGTTCTGCTTACGAACGATTTCGAAGCTCGTTGTCAAGTGTTTTGATTATTCAAGGAAAAGAGTTGAAATTCAGGTTCAACACTGCTACAGTATGCTTGCTCGGGCTTATGCTCGCTTCAAAGTGTATTCGCAGAGGAAGTCTGCTCGTGCCCAATAATGATTTATATATCTCATTACCGGTGTTTTAAACTTGTTTACGAAAGATCTCCTTGGTTTTGTTGTTTCCTTTTCAAATGAATAGATTTTAGAGTTTAATAAATTTTTCCAAACCTTTGTGCCAGTGTATACTTTCTATCAGAGTCATCCCCTAATTATTTCAGCAACTTTTTTCTACTTCTTATTAAGCTTTTTGACCCTGTCATGAATGTTTACATGTTCAGCATATGGTCTGATGAGACGACTATTCACGGCTGTTAAGCATTCGCAAAACTGTCTCAGAGTAGCTGTTCATGCTGCCAATCGGCCAGGTGTGCGATGTCTCTCAAGTCTGTGCAGACCAGAGTTGGATTTCGATTTTCTCTTGGATGATGCTAATTTGGAAGAAATTAGGAAGAATATTACGTAAGATTTGGATCCTAATACATTCGTGATTTCACTTCCTCGGGGACTAAAGTAATGTTCCTGTCAGAGGAAAGCTTCGAGTACACACGGAGCTAACAATGCAGCCCCGTTCACTAATCGCTCGAGTCGCAACTTGTCAAACAAGGTCGCATAAGGTCTCGTGAAGGGTTCTCCCTTAATTGGGAAAGACAGGTATAGGTGCACTTAAGCAGCTAAGTTGACAGTCGGATCTCGCATTGTTTTTGTTCTTGTCACTGTCGCAAGCATAGTGTTTACAACAGAGGAGAAGGATATACATATTTCACAATGGAGCTTTGCATCTTCAGTTACAGCTTAGGATATAGCTTCTTAATTGTCGCGACCTATTCCCTTATCACGTTCTAGTCCTCTGTGTGTCCTCTATCAAAGGGAAGTTGAACTGCTTCTTCGTTTCTCCTTCCCCCATCCTTCAATATTTTCGAGCTCAATGTGCAACACCGCCTGTTTTCGTTCCCTCTCTTTGTATATTCCGTCGCTGCTTGAATACGGCCAATTTTTGATGAGGCCCACACAACATGAAGGATCGAGACAAATGGCGTCGTATGAAGGGTGCGCCATAATTTGCGACTGTCTTGGCGTTCCAGTTTGAGCCCGTATGGCCGCAGTCACAGTTTGAGGTTCTGTATTTTTGCAATTTTGCCATTATTCGTGGATTATATCTGGGTTGATTATGCCATTGCCCTCGCACCATCGTGTAGTCAGCACATATCTTCTCCACCCGCGAGCATCAAAAAAAAACTGTGTCGCAAAGTATGATCACGGTACTAATGTGCGACCAAATGCGAGTGATTCATATAGGAAGGCACGAGTATGGTCGCCTGTGATCCAATTGGTTTGTTTAAAGGTCGTAGAGTGATCGATTCAATTGCAGTCAAGGTAGATTGTTGTGATTGTCTCTAGAAACACCCAAGAGAAGTTTATGGTTCGAACTTCACCCTAATGAGTGGTAATTTAGTGACAGAAAAGGAGTTGGCGACATTGATGCAGTTCGTAGGAAGTGGAATGATCTGCAGACGTTGATGAGTACGCCGGAGAAGCCTCAAATTACCGAGGCGGAGTTGAAAAAGATGTGGAATGAAGTAGGCACCTCAGTGTATCATTGTAGCTAAAATTATTAACCTATACATTTCAGTTGTACTTTGAAGCTCTGCGGATACCGAACATGTCTCATCCAGATGCTCCAAGAGGAGGTATGGAGAATGCAAAGGTTAGTTAGAGTGCCTGGTCATCATCAGTTACTAAGAGTGGTCCGATTGAGATTAAACACTTGCAAATGCCCTTGCGCTCTGTTTTGGTATGACTTTGGATGAAGGACGTTGCAGTCATAGATGCTCAAAATTTCGTCGCATTACACACAATCCCCTCAATGCAGTGCTTAACCAACGCTTTGCATTGTATTGTGTCATACCCACCCTAAATCTACTCAAAAGTCTCATGAATAGCATCTCAACAATAATTTACTTAGGTGTTGGCAACCTGGGGAGAGAAACGGGAAGGTGCTTGTGTAATGGCCGAGAAATTGATACAGTCGTGGCGAACATTGTACTTCCCCACTGATGCTTCTGGAGAGAGAAGTTATGCGTTTGTAGGTGAGTTTTTTCTTAGAACTTATTCAAGACATTCACCTCCATGATGTTTTTGCGCATGTTGTGCATGTGGCTTAAGGTGGGAAACTATTGTTGAGTTTGTACTCATGCACCTAAATGTGGAAGGTTTGGGCGAAACGTTTACAATAACGGCGTCTCAAGCACTTGTTGATTATTTCGAGGTTTTCTACGAATATGTTACGCTACCAAGTTCTCACGCTGCTCTCTCGTATCCTAAGCTTCTAGTGGCCGCGTTGTCATAGCTTTTCGGTACTTAAACATAGACGAATTAATTGGCTGATATCAGCACTATACCGACCAGCCAGATTTCATCTATATATTTGCATATAGTTCCACTATCAGTATTGACTACGCTTCAACGTGTCATATACTCGATATCCGAGAGTTGGGGTAGGCGTGTCACCGGAAGTGACGTGCACTTGATAGAAGCTATGTGGATAAGCTGCTTCCAACATACATCGCTGGATATCAGCAAAGCATGCTGGCAACAGCTTATCCACGCAACTTCTATCAAGTGCACGTCACTTCCGGTGACACGCCTACCCCAACTTTCGGATATCGACTGTACGTGTGGGCTGTGTTGAAGGGAAAATGAGATTCTACTTCCATGATCTGAATGTGTACTTTCTCTATAAATCGTTTCTTCTGGGAAATGTAGCGTCCACGTTATTTTCATCGTGTTGGCGAATCTGGTTTCGATCTAGGTATCGAGGTAGTCTTATTGAAGGAATATTAGGTTTTTGGGAGGATTTGGTCCCTCACCAAGTGTGCACTAGTGGCGCCACTCAATTGTGCCTGACCACTTCAATTTAGCACCACGCCTGAAAGCCATGGGTGCGTATTTAAGTTCCGCTTAAGTGTGACATTTTGGTCGTCACTCACCTCAGCGCCCTCTCGCTGGTTACTCACATCGCGAACCTCGGCACGGAGTAGCTGTTAGAAAATCTAACATTCTTTCTGGTCAAACCTTCGTTTCCATTTTTTTGGTTACAGATTACATTTAGTTACAGAGATATGTATTTCCTTGGTCAATTATTGAAGCCCGTTTTTTGACAAGCCAAAGTATCGTTGCTATCACCAATGAAATCTTTTTACCGCAGGTGCACTGGCAAACCTGGAAAGAGTTCTGCTAGAGTACGTATTCGAACGCGTATCCGCCCTCGACTTCAAGCCTGTATCTGTACCAGATCTTGTGACGAAGGAAATCACTGAAGCATGTGGTGTGGTTCAACGTTCACAGAAGGACATACAGGTTCTACACAACTTTTGATCTAATTTGTTCCAGACGTTTAATTTGTGTTTCAGTATTCACTGCAAAATGAGGAGAATATTGTCCTATCTGGCACCGCCGAAATGGGTATTTCTGCACTGCTAAAGGATCGCACTTTCGAGGAAGAGCAACTTCCATTTCGATTGGTAGCAATGAGTAGGTAACGGCTTTTAGAAAAATTAGTTTTCTTGTTCCCTGTGAAGTTATTTTAGCCAGTGTTTCTTTTTTTCCGGGCTGGCGGATCATAGGCCAGTAATACTGTTGGTAGTAGGGATACTGTGTTAGTTAACTTTCAACTTTCAAGTAAAGCACACTTTCCGATTTCTGCTGTTTTATCGTGTAAGCTCAGATGGGGAGCAGAACCATGTGCTGCTCCCGGCACCGCGGCAGCGGCGTGTCCCGAACATCCTGGCTCTGAGATATTTTCTCTGTTTTCTCCAACATACATATTTTGCGTCCTCTCATTGTGAGAGCGCTAAACCATTCGTAGCCAGGAGATCCGTGCATCAGCTCGACCTTCAATGGAGCATCGGGCTACAGCCCACGCTGGAAGCCATTTTGATGAGCGTAATAGTCAGCGGGAAGCCTAGATCCCAATTAAGTACCTTGTACTGCACGACCACAAAATGAGAGGTGGCAGGTGTTACGGGTAGACGGTGGCATAGTCCATTATAGTGTTGCGACTTCAACGTTGCATTTTTCACGATATATCGGCTAAATGAAACTGGGCTTATATGCATCATGAATGTTATATATGAATTTTAAAGATTATTCCTAGATAATTTAGGTGTTATCGACCAGAAGTGAGTAGTTCGGCTAGTGAGGCAAAGCTCTATCGAGTTCATGAATTCACGAAGGTCCGTTGTTTTGGCAATTTTAGTTCATATCTTCAGAAGCGAGTGCTGTTTAGGTGGAGATGTACGTAGTTTGCACCCCTGAGCAAAGCGATGGAGAATTGGATTATCTCGTAGATATTCAGAAAGGAACATTCGAGTCTCTGGGTTTACACTGCAGGTATTCCATTCAGTGTATACCCTACTTTGTTCAAGCGATGATCTGATTATTTTAGGCAAGTGGATATGCCAAGTGAAGAGCTGGGCGCACCAGCAGCACGAAAGGTGGACATAGAAGCGTGGATGCCTGGGCGACAGCTCTTCGGAGAGGTGTCATCCGCCAGTAATTGTACAGACTACCAAGCAAGACGATTAGGTTGGTGCGCAGTTCTGAAGAAAAACCCTTCTCACCTTGAAAGAGCAGCTACCCTTCCATATAAGGCACTTACCTGGTGTTTCGGTTTGTCGGTCTTCCTGTAAGTCTGCCATTCAGTCAGCCTGTTTGACGATGTGTCCAGTCGCAGAATCTCCCTCCCTTATCAGAATACGTGATAACGGAGCAAGGATAAACCAACGCTAATGAATGTCGGTAGCCCATAGCTCTTGTGGTTTGATGGTTTCCTGATGTTCTGATTGCGATTTCTCTTCACCTGCTAGATAAGCCACCCATTGAGCACACTCTCGGCCACTACAAGTGACGTCAGTCGAGCATGTCGGAGGGGGTTGATGAGGCGTTCTCTAGTGCATGGGACGCTCACGCACATTTTCATTCCCCAGGTACTTGATAACTGAGGTGAGCACAAAGGGAGGACAGCGTGTGCAGGAATGTACCTGCGGATGCCTTGGACAACGTTTGAGTATTATAAGTGTTGTAGTGATAGTCGCATCGCACTTGATCCATATTTTATCATCCCTGCTAATTTATGCCCTCTACTTGGTCGTCAGGCTTGGATTTACTACTTATGGTATTCGATAAAAAAGAGGGTATCAATATTTATTGCAGTGAGTGGAAGAGTTCTACTAGTAAAAAAGAAAATGATATAAGATGGAAATTTCGTAGACAGAAGACTAGCAAAAGCCAATGGACTTACTCCATCGTCCGAATGTGAGTCCAGCGTAAAGTCGTAGACGTGAAAAATTTGTAGAGCTATAAAAAAGAGGCGTCGATATTCGTAGGAAATGGTTTTTCATTGTGGCTCGGAGATGAAAAAATAGTAAGCTATCGGCTGGAAGCGCGCACATTACCCAGCGCTCCAGCGATACAGACAAGAGCAAGCAGAAATTTGGCCTCTAACAGCTTACCCCTGCATAGAAAACGCACATAAGAGGTGCTCTTTGATATCTTTTGAAAGCTCATTTTTCCACAGTTTCTCCTTTGTTAGCGCACGACCCAATCACATGAAGTGGAGCTTCCACCCTGTTTGGAATTCTTTTTTATTTGTCCACCGCCTTCGGTTTTTCAGTTGCCTCGAGACCGCCTCAATGCTCTGAATATCAGCTCTGCTCATCCCGGTGCGTGTTCTGCCCATCATTAGCATGTAATCTCTTCCGGCCTCTTGAAGTATGGGGTTTTGTGGCGAACTATTCCCCCTTAACGATCGAGTGTGCCCATTGAGCACGCTTTTCTATGTCCTTAATACACCACATACATTACTTTCCTCCACCATTTTCCTGCTTTCTAGGTTGTCCTGTAGAGTCATTATTTTTCACCAGTTTTGCTCCGCCCGCTATCGCGCGCATCACACGGCAGGCTTTAGCGAAACTGGAGGACCCATGGAATATCAGCATGAGCTCCATTAACCACCTCACTATTGAATGTGTTAGACCTTTCCCAGTTTCGCTGAAGTCCATCGAGAATACGCGTGATAACGTCTGGAGCTGAACTGGCATATTATCTCACAACTGTAAACATCCAGCATTCTTCTTGAATTCAGATAATTTAGCGGTGAATAGGATTGCTGTCAGTCTCAAAATGAAAATGAAATATGCCTATTTACATAAGTGAGGAGCTAAGGCTTATCATTTATTTACATTCACCATTATTTAGAACCCCGAAAGGATTAGCGGTTTAATGAGTTTGGGCTTTCTTGATAGAAATGAAAGTTATCATTTGCTGAAGACTTGATTGAGTTTATGCAATCGACTGCTATTAAGTAAGCTGGTCATACAATGATACAATGTGCACGTACCACTACAAATAGAATTTGTAAGTAGGGACGCTCTAGTGTCAGCGCAAGCTACAAGCGCGTTCTGACGCGCCTTATCAGTTGTAACCACTTTCCATCACCTACCAACAATGTCCCCGTCCCACCCCACATAACACCTGCGAGTATGGACGCTCTAGTGTCAACGCGAGCTGGATAACGGAATCAACGAACTTTGCGTTCTGACGCGCCTTATCAGCCTTTATCAAATGCAGTCACTTTCCATCACCTACCAACAATGTCCCCGTCCCACCCCACCTAACACCTGCGAGTATGGACGCTCTAGTGTCAGCGCAAGCTGGGTGACGGAATTGACGACTTTTGCGTTCTGACGCGCCTTATCAGCCTTTATCAAATGCAATCACTTTCCATCACCTACCAACAATGTCCCCGTCCCACCACACAT